GACATTTAGACATGTCCAGCACGCTCTCATCTATTCCTGTTTTTTATTTTAACTTTAAAATACTTTGTGTAGGATGGAATTATTTTTTGTGACCTAAAGTGAAATTAAATTAATTTTTTCATAAAAAACAGACAAATCCCATTGCATTTACATTCCTGCTCAATCCAAAAGAGAATTTTGAAATTAGAAAAGAACATCAGAGAACCTTTTGTTTTCAACGATGGACGACAAATTCTTTGCTTCACATTCCAAGACTTTAAATTAAATGTTACACAACAGAACCCTGTTTCTATTGTAGAACCGGACCAGAACCCCTTGATTGACTGAAATAAGGCTTAACCTGCAGAATAAACAATCTGAAAAACTCACATGCACTGCAAAAACGATCTAGAAACAAGTAAAAATTTCTTAAATTAAGTGTATTTACCCTTAATTTGAGCAGGTAAATAAGATGATTTGCCAATGAAATTAGTATCTTCCCTCTTAAAATAAGATAATTATATAATATGAACTTGAAATAAGACAATGCAATAGTTTTTTCTTATTTCAAATGTAAATTGTCTTGTTCCATTGGCAAAGTGTCTTACTTTCGTCCTCAATTCAAGAAAAAATGTACTTTTTTTAAGAAAAAATTACTCACTTAGATTTCCATTTTTTGCAGTGTTGAAAGAAAAGACAATTAGAAGAATTTTATTGATACAATTACTTTAGTCTTTGGCGCTCAGACCTCACCAGGAAACATAGCGTTGAATTTTGATCAATATGCATGAACAGGAGCAAAGAACAGGGCTGTTTCCCCTCCAGGCCTGAAACTGGTGGTGGAGTGGAGATAGATGAAGTTGGTCAGTCTGTAGACTGCTGGTCCAGTGGACTGCATGAGCTGATACTAGAGCTTCACTCATTGATCTGGAAGATGGAAGTCCAGCTTGGATGTCGATGATGAGCAAGCATGAAGCGACAGTTGAGAGGAAAAACTCTCCATTGGGAAGAAACCTCTGGCAGAACCAGGCTCCATATGGCGGTCTTCTGCTGGACCGGTTGAAATGAGACACGGAACGCATAAGAGTCCAGGAGAAATGAAACTCTGATGGTGGAGGTGGGTTGAAACGCAGTCATCTGAAATTCAAGTCTGATATAGCGAAACCACTGCCTGCACTTTGAGGAGCAGACTGGGTTGGGGATTGGAGACCTTTTAAGATGAACTCTGGATGCTGATTGGCTTTTGTGGAGGTGTGGTTCAAAACCAAAGGCGGATGAAGGCGAGTTTATTCAGATGAACTTCGCCTAGGCTCCATTAACCCAGTAAAGCTGGCACTGGAAAAACGATCTAGAGATAAGTTCAAATTTGCTAAATTAAGAGTATTTACCCTTAATTTAAGTAGATTAGATAGTAAGATAATTAGATAACATTCACTCTAAATAAGACAATGCAATGGTTTTTTCTTATTTTAACTGTAAATAGTCTTGTTTCATTGGCAAAATGTCTCTTTTACCTCCTCAATCCAAGAAGAGATTATTCTTTTATGCCACACTAGTCTTCATAGAAGATTCTGACAAATGAAAAGGGTTCAATCATTGAATGAAATAATTAGGATTTTCTTTTTTTTTTTATATATGTCATTGGTTCCTTTTTTGGTCACCTAATGAATGCATCAGGTTTTCCCAGAGAGAAAATATCCCAGTGATGATGTAGAGTATGTATCAAACATGCCACACAGCATTTTTCACTAAACTCAGACGTTTAACGGAATCTGTGTACAATAATTCAGTCCATTTATTTAGTTTTTACTGTTCTAAGTTCTTAGCTCTCATTCATTTATCAGGAACTTTAAAAACATTCATGCTGACCAAAGTTTGTTAAAGAAAAAATATGCGATACTGGAACCAGAAATTTTACATCCCTCTAAGCAGGGGTCTTCACAACGAAACTGTCAAGGAACGCTATGGACAGAGGAAACATGCAAGAGGAGGAGAGTTTAGTGTCAGAGGTCGAGGATGAGTCTCCTCCATCATCCATTTTTTATTTAGACGTAACTTAATGGTAAAGTAAATGATTCTTATTTCTTATTTCAACTGTTCCATATATCAGCTGCGACATATGAATCAAGACACAAAAAAAAACACAGATTTTAAGACAGGATTTTTTTTTTATAGAAATTTTCTAAATGTTGGGACAATATAATCTGATAGAGTACATTTATATACATGTTTAAGCCACAATGATTTGACATTTAAATTTGATTTCTCTACGACTTGGAAGACATTTCAATTTGTGGAAAAAAATTGCAGGGGGGAATATATAAGAAAAAATCTATCAACCAAAACTTTTGCGACCCCCATGCAGTACCTCCGTGGACCCCCTAGGGGTCGCGAACCCCCTGTTGAAGACCTCCGGTCTAAGGAACCGCTTCAGTTCAGTCAGAAACTGGGAACTGGGTCAAATATTAGCTAATTATTAGCAGTCAACACAACAAACTAAAGAACCACTTCCTTTCTATCTTCAAAATAAAAGTCTCAAACTCCAGCTCTGTTGCCAGGAAACCAGCTTTGGATGATGTCACACCATGACGACTTTCAGACACCTGAATCAAACATCTGAACTCATCCAGGTTCTCCAGAGCCCTGGTTCACGTGTGCCGGAACCTTCACCTTGATTAACCTTTCTGGGTTACCTGCCCCGGCCAAGTAGTTAGACCGGTCCCGACCCGGTTAGGAGCGAGCTGTTGGTCTCCTCTGGGGGCCTCAGCCTGGAGGTAGATTAGTCCTGACAAGTTGGACTGGCTGCCTTAACTCTGAGCTGATTGGATGAAGGTCTTGTTGGAGACATGTCTGCTCTGCTCTGGGGGTCTCAGCGTGGGGTCAGAACCGGGCCGGACGCCAGCAGTCCATGTGTTAGTGAGCAGATCGGGTCTAAAAACAGGCAGGCAGTGTACGGCCCGCTTTGCCAAAAAGCAGCAATTTAGTGTGAATGTGGAGCAGCTTTCCAGCTCCGACCACACATGCTGCCGCTGCCAGGAAAGCCTTTTTTCTGCTACCTGTTTACGCGCAGGTAAAGTGGCTTTCAGAGCGCTCGTTTCAGCGGCCCGTCGTCACGTTCAGCCGCTGCTCCTCCACACTCCTCCTCTTGTTCTCCAGATAAAAACCCCACCGACTGGACTTGGTGTTCCTGAACTAACCCGATACAGGGGAGCTCGTAAAGGAAATCGCTCCCATGATTCTTTCTGGCACAGATCACTCGCCGAGAAAATGTGGATTTCTTACACGCCGTCAGAGCCGGGGAACAATGGTTTCTGTTCGGGCTCAGTAATGAGGAGCGGTCTGCTGCAGATAATGTGTTCACTGTGGGCTTTTCACGTCCCTGCTGGGACCCCTGCTTCTGGGTAAAAATCAGGGACGCATCAATAGAGCCCAGTGGCCAGAACGTTGGACATAATTGGCTAAATTAAGAACACGGTTTGAGTCACCGGGGGCCGAGCGAGCTGCAGCGGAGCCCTGATAAATATCTGTACCTGCAGCAGAGAAGTGGCGTGTTTGAGCAGCACGGCGCGTCTGAAACCCCAGGAGGCCGAGCGTAACCTTAGCCAAACATTTGGAGAGCGCACGGTGGGCTTTCATGCTGCTCTTTGCTCTCAGTGTGTCCACAGCAGCGAGCCGGACCCTCCCTTCATCAGCGCCCCTGATTAAACCCGTCCCAAAACAAACTGAAGGAGTCCTGCTGCTGAGGCTGCAGAGGAGACCAGACACTTCAGGGTTTGTCCTCACAGCTGCGACCGCAGAGGGCTGCAGGCTTTGGAGCCAATAGGGAGGCGGTTCTGTCCACCTGCTGAAGATACAGGTCTGGCTGTAGGTTCTGATGGTCTATGTCTCCAGGGTTCTAGTTTTAACCGGTAATGAGCATCAGGCGGGTTCTGATTCTGGGTCCAGTTGTTGTTTCTTTGTGGTTCATGTTCTTTTGGGTCAGTGTAAAGCTGATCAGACCATGGTTTTGGTTCTGGGTCGATGATGGGAGTCTCTACCGGAGGCTTTGACCCGGTTTAGAACCCGCCTGGAGCTCTCAGAACCGCATAATGGTTCTGTTTCTAGGCCTGTTCTCTCCTGGTTCTGGATGTAATAAGACGCTGCAGTAAACTGGGGGCTGTGATGTTCAAGGTTACGTAAGCGACCTTTATGTCAGTCAGCGTCCAAAGGGACAGGTGGACAGGTTGCCATGGCGAGGTCCATCCTGCCGGTCCCAGCCGCCCCGGGTCATGGCGACCCGATAAAGGCCAGCCATGGCCCAAAGTCAATGCGGAACCGTCGCTCTGCATCAGCGTCCGGACTCTGATGGCGTCATCGCTCCATCAGAACCTCATCCACTGTGACAGCCAAAGTTCTGCCCGACCCGGTTCAGGGTCCAAACAACCCCCGTTACAGGCGTCTAAATCCTTTCAGCAGAACCCGATCTTCTCACCTTCAGGTTCTCCAGAACCCATCCATCCCAGTTTGGTCCCAGAACCTGCTGCTGACCCACAGGCAGCAGAACCCGGACATCAGATCTTCTTCTCTGTGGACTGAAGGGTTCTGGTTCCTAAACCCGTCTAGAACCACCACCCCTGCTTTGATGTGGGTCGGAATTTGGAGAACTGAGAAGAGCTGAACCGGGTTTATAAGGGTTCTGAACCAGAACTCTGTGCCTTTTTTTTTAAAGGAGAGAGGAGAAACCAGGAGGAACCGGGTCACGGTGGGCAGGTGGGGTGGTGGTTCTGGTCCACAGAGAAGAACATCTGATCTTTGGTTTCTGCTGCCTGTGGGTCAGCAGCAGGTTCTGGGACCAAACTGGACCATGAGCTTGACTCTGAGGAGCTAAAAGGTTCTGAACCTTCTTTTTCGGACCTCTGATGCTCGGTGAGTCAGACAGAACGATCTGCTGCTGAGCGCCACCTTCCTCCTCCTCCTCCTCCTCCTCCTCCTCCCTGTCAGAGGAGGTCCGTCCCTCTCTGGGAGTCGGAGCAGAACCAAGCAGCCCTCAGATGGACCTGCAGCTGCAGCAGAGCAACCACAGCAGCTGCTCTGTGAACCGGGTCTGTGTTCCTCAGCCGGACTTTCTGACAGATTCTTTTGGACCTCTGTGGATCTTTTGGACCGACCCAGCTGTGAGTGGACCCGTTTAGGTTCTGTTAGGTTCTGAATTTCCTTCAGAATCTTTGTGTTCTGCTGGATTCTGGCTTTTTTTTTTTTTTTTTGCTCTGAACTTTTTTCATCCCGTTCGGACTTTGTTCTGGACGTGTTCTACAGAGTTCTGACCGTTTACTCTCACCCTCTAGTTTGCAAAGTTCTGACCAAGTTCTGAAGTGTTTTTTCAAGGTTCTGCTCATTTCTGACACTTTTATTTTCTAAGTTCTGTTGAGTTCTGATCTGTTCTGATGGTCCAAAGTTCTGTTGGGTTCTGACTGCTTGTTCTGTGCTTCCTTCCAGAACCATGCTGTTCTCCAGCAGCCTCCTGCAGCAGTGCTTCTTCGCTGTCTTCCTGCTCTGCTCTCCGGTTCCGTACGCGGGCCGACCCGTCGACACCAGCAGCAGAATGTAAGTCCAGTTCTCCTCCGGCTCGGTCTCAGAGTGGACTCTTTGTTTTGGATCTGAGGCTGGAAAATGTTCAGTGGTTCCGTTTACCCAGAGAAACCGGACCACCTGCAGGAGCAAATCAAACCGGGCCGAGCTCGGCAGAATAAACACACTTTCTGGACTTTATCTCTGAGTCGGTTCTGGATGTGATCCCGGTTAACAGAGCAGGGGGGAACCAAACCATCTAATCAATCTGGACCTCTGACAATCTGTGGTTCTGGAGGTTTATTTAGGCAGAAACCTGTGGTTTGGATCATTTTGGGTCAGAATCTGAAGGAGTTCTAACACTAAATGTCTTGGTGGTTCTGCAGCAGTTTTGGGACCGTTTCAAATGGCCCGAACAGTCTGGTTCTGATTTACCTCCTCTGAGTTATCTGGGTCTGGGTCACAGAACCTGGAGATACTGCAGAGGTCCGTTTTCCTTCCTTTCAGACAGAATCAGAGCCAGAGTTCTGAAGGCGAGCGGGTCCGTTTGATCGGAACAGGATCAAAGGTCGGATCAGCTTTCACAGGAAACATCTGTATGCATATAAACAGCAGCTGCTCAGCACTCTGGATCAGAACCGGAGCTGCAGATTCATCAGAACTCAGCAGGAAGCTGAACAGAATGTGAGGAAGAGGAGCCGCTGCCCTTCCTCAGCTGCTTCAAGAAGCTCAGGTGGAACCGTCAGGGAGGTTCTGAGCAGGCGGCGCCATCCTGTGGCGGATCCGAAGGTGGTTCCGTCTGAGTGGGAAGTTTGATCCCAGGCAGGAAGCAGAACCAGGTTCTGATGAGGTTCTACTCCTGGAAGGTTGTTCTAGTTGACTGTGGAGGAGAAGCTGATAGTTCTGACCCACACTGCCCACTCACTGGGCGGGGCTTGTTCAGCAGGTGCTCTGAGGTTGAGGGTTGCAGATCCTTTAGGGTGTGCTGCCTCCTGCTGGCGGGTCGAGGTTCTGCTCTTCCCAGATGTTTTCCTCTGGAATCATGTTTGTGTGGTTAAAGGCTTTCTCCTCTTCTGCTCCTCCTCAGGCGCCGCTCCGTCAGCGAAACGCAGCTCATGCACGACAAAGGCCGGATGCTGCACGGATTCCGCCGCATCGTCTACCTGCAAGACCTTCTGGACGCCCTCCACACAGGCGACGCCTTGTCGGTCCGAAGCGCCGGGGTCGGAGGCAGCGGGCTGCCCGGACCCAGCCTCGGCGTCAACCCCAGCACCACGGGCAGCACCCTCCAGTCCAAACCCCCCGGAGGAACCAAGAACCTCCCCATCACCTTCCAGGTGGAGGAGGAGGAGGGAACCAACCTGCCGCAGGAGACCAACAAGTCGCAGCCGTACAAAGACAGCACGCAGAAGCTCCCCGGAAAGAGGAAGAGGAAGGGCAAGTCTGGCAGGAGGAAGGAGGGGGAGAAGAGGAAGAGGACGGTGCGCTCCATATGGCGGAGGCTGGAGGAGGAAGCTGGCAGCGGACTCCACCTGGAGTGGAGGTCTCTGCTGGGCGTGCAGAGGGCGCTGCAGTGAGACGCCGTCAGACGCTGACGAAGGTGAGTTCTGGTCTGACGCAGCCGAAGGTTCTGGGCTCAGAAGCTTTGCACACACTGGAAAAACCATCTAGAAATAAATTAAAATTTCCTAAATTTAGTGTATTTACCCTTAATTTTAGTAGGTTAGTTAGATAGTTTCTTAATAGAATGAGTTTTTTACTCTTAAAATGAGATAATTAGATAATTTGCACTTGAAATAAGACAATGCAATTGTGTTTTCTTATTTTAAGTGGAAGTTGTCTTGTTCTAGTGGCAAAATGTCTCTTTTTCTTCCTCAATCCAAAAATAAATGCACTGATTTTAAGAAAAAATGACTTATCTAGATCTAAATTTTCCCAGTGCAGAGAAACTGATCAGATCCGCAGAACCGATTTAGAATCAAATGAATCCTACAGGAGCTCCATCGCATCGGGTGGGGATCTAGATGTTCCGTCCAGACCCCCGTTAAAGACGTTTTAAAGTTAATTTTTTAACTTCTGGGTTTCTCCAAACCAATAAGCTTAGAATCATCAAATCCTTTAGGCTGGAAACTGGTTCTACATCCCGACACAATCTGGTCCCGATCCAATAAAACGCTCCAACCTGGACAATTAGATCTGCACACAGAACCAGGGAGCAGAGGTGGAGGTATCATGGTGAGGGAGATTCTAGGTTCTGACGTCTGCGCTGAGGTCAGCCTGCTGTCCAGGTGGACTGACCCAGAGGACATCAGCTGGACCTCCCAGCTTCGGTTCTGCTTCAGTCTGGGTTCGGTTCTGACAGGTTTTCATTCTCTGTCTTTTTTGTGTGTTTTCCAGAAAGAAATCTTCGCCTCAGCTTCCCAGACTCCTAAATGTTCACGACTCGGCCTCCTGCCATTGTGAGCGTTTGGACAGCAGACAGAAAATATTTATTGTGTGTAAATATCTGAGAATGGAAACAGAAAATGTTTAAATGAACCCATGTGGGCGCTCTGTGCAGCGACTGATTTTAATCTTTGTGAATCCATTTTTTTATTCCAGTAATGTCTTATTATTTCCAGTAATTTATTTTGTTATATTTATTTCGGAAACGTATCGAGGTGCTGCTGACCTTGTATATTTTTGTACCATAATGCACTTTAGATATCTATAATCTATAAAACATGACCTTGTTGTTTCTGTTGTTTTTGATCTGAAGTGAAGAAAACCGACTTTTTTTTTCCTCTTTTTCTTTTTTTTTTTAAATGTGTTTGTTTCTTTGAAGTTGTTTTTTGTGGTCTATCCTCGCGATGCCTTCACTGACCGTCAGTTTTCTCCACGCTCCGCTTCTCCGGGCCAAAGTTCACACGTGTACCAAAACACAGCTTGTTCATGTTTGTGCACTGAGATGAAGCCCCTGTTCTGAACTGATTAAACATGTCGTCATATCTGACTCTGACTCTGATTGGTCAATTCTGGGTTCCTAATCCTCACAGACTGTTTAGATGATATTCCAGATGTTTGATGATTTAAAAAAAAACAATTCTCCATCATTTCTGAAGTTTAAAATTTCCCTAATAAAGATTTTTTTTTACGTCAGCTTTGACTCATTCAAAAAGATGAGATTTCAAAATTTTTTTTAGTATCATTTTAGATTAAAGAGGCAGTACATTATGTCCCCACTAGGTGTCAGTACTCAGTGATTAAAGGTATTGAGGATTTTTTAAAAGACCCGCCCTCTCCACCTAAAAATGAAAATGCCATTTAAAATAAAGGTTTAAAATGTGCTGTTCTCATAGCTCATACAAGCTAACTGTCTACATACAACAGGGACTATAGTGAACTTCATAGTGAACTCAGTTAACTGACAGTTCGGACAGATGATCACTGCTTTTTGCTCCGTTGGTCACGTAACTCCTCCACTGCACGGTGCCTCCGCCATCTTTGTTATTAGTCGGCGCTGTCGGGAAGTGACAGCCTATGATGAAAGTGGGCCGCTGTGACAACAAATCCCATAATGCTTTGCGAGGAGAGCTCTGCGCACAAAGCATTCTGGGATATATCTGCCTCTTCTGAGGCCTTTCTTTTCTTCTCATACACTACGCAGAAATTTTTTCTCTTACAACCCTCGGCAATTTTCAAAGAAATTGAAAGATGACTTCAATGGCTGTCGGAAAATGTAGCTCACCACAGATATATGCCTGAGAGTGCGCAACTGCAGAAAAAGATAGCTATCGGGACGAGCACATTACGTAAAAATATCACCAGAATGATTGACAATTAAAAGGACCACTTATTGAGATGATCCACCTAGAAATAAAAGATCCGCCTCTGTACCTTTAAGGTAATATGTTTACTACAGAAGGCAGAGGAGGACATGGTTGAAGTTTGCTTTTTTTTTTTTATCATGATCTGCTGCTTCCTGCCTCGCTCCTGTTAGAGACAGACTCCAGTAAAGATCGATGGAAGCCATCCAGTCTGCTCAGGCTGAGAAGAAGAAGAAGGTCCTTCCTGCTTCTGCAGGAACAAAGAAACTGGTGACTAGAAGGAGGTGATCGGGTCACGGATCAACTGATCATCTCAATAACAGCAGCCCTGCATTAGCACAGCATCAGAGAGGTAAGAGATCAGCATTGAGCAGCTGCTGTCCATCAGTCTGAGGTCAAAAGGTCATCTCCAAACCACTGAAGGCTTAAACCATGAGAGCATCAGAGGAGAAGCTCTGCAGTGATGAACGGAAACTATAAAAATAGATCTATGCTTCTCATAGCTGCGTTATCTTCAGGGATCCTTTCTTAACATATTTTAACCTTCATGGTAAATAAATAATTTTGAAGCTAATTCAGGTAAAAGTTGACATAAAATTTGATCTAATTAAGACTCCTTTATGTATTTTTATATTTTGTTATCAAAGCAGAGAAAGGTTCTGGTTCTGGGTTGATCCCACAGATCTGTATTTATTCAGTGGATTGCTGATAGGCTGTTAGTAGAACATGGTGCTGTGAAGTCACCAGCAGCCATATTGGTACTCCCTAATTAGACCAGTGCCAATGTAAACAATACGTGCTCTACAGCATCAAACAACAATGATGTTCTCATTTTCTGGGGGATTTAAGATTTTTAAAATAAAGATAAATCCATTACTTTGACACACTGGCTGTTTCATAGTATCAGTAGATTACTGGACCTTATAATAAAAACAAAAATAGGCAAATTCATTATAAACTCTATAAATCAAGTAATATAACATATTATACAAATCAATCACAAAAAATGGGTGTGTTAATGGAGCAAAATAATACAGATGTGCCTATAGTGCTAAATTGATTATGTACATGTAATATATATTTATTACATTGTTATGGTGATTACATTATAGTACATGCATTTTTATGGCGCGACTCTGTGAGAGTGGGGAGTACCAAGATGGCGGCAGTTCTTAATGCCTATCAGCATTCCAGAACATAGAGATCAGTGGTTGATCCCAGAGAGAAAGTTGAAGGTCCCGCTGTGGCCACATGAGGGCGATGCTGCGCCGACAGGCGCTTCAACAGCAGAAGAAGAAGGCGGAGGAGATCAGCAGCTTCCGGCCCACGTGGGAAAGGAACAGCATCATGGCTCCAGGGGGGAAGATAAACAGACCGAAAACGGTAAGAAAGCCCAAACAGATGGTTCCGAAGGTGTCGGGTGTTGTTCGGATCAGAGCTGAAAGCTTCACCTAAAAGATCCAGAACGTTCTGGTTCTGATGGTGGGATTTACAAACAAGCAGAGCTTGTTCTGTTGGTTCTGATGGACCAACAGAACCTCTGACGTCATCAAATATAAACTTTTCTAAAAGAGTAACAGCTGCTTTGATGTTACACAGCGGTTCTGGACGGGTTCTGTGCTAGATCTATGACACTAGAGACACTGCTCCGCATCTTTGAACATTATTTAATTTATAAAATGTAATAAACCTCAAAGAAAACTGCAGAAACGTTGCTATGGCAACACCATGAGCCTGTTACATGCTGATTGGTTGTGTGGGTTTTGATCAGCAAAGATCCGCCTCAGTAATAAATCTTTGGTCACTTCCTGGTTTACTGTCAGTCCGCCACCCCCTGACCTTTGACCTGTCCCGGTTTTCCTCCAGGAGCTCGGAAAGAAGCTCTTCAAGCGGCGCAGAGTTTTGGGTCGACAGAAGAAGAAGCAGAATCAGATCGTTGGAGCCGTGGTCGACCAGGGCCTCATCACCACCCACCACCTGAAGAAGAGACGGTCAGAGCTGCAGGCGTCTCACCTGTCCCCTGTCCTCCTCTCCTGTCTCCCTCTTACCTGTCTCCCTCTCTCCTGTCTCCCTCTCTCCTGTCTCCCTCTTACCTGTCTCCCTCTCTCCTGTCCTCCTCCCCTGTCTCCCTCTCTCCTGTCCTCCTCCCCTGTCTCCCTCTCTCCTGTCCTCCTCTCCTGTCTCCCTCTCTCCTGTCCTCCTCCCCTGTCTCCCTCTCTCCTGTCCTCCTCCCCTGTCTCCCTCTCTCCTGTCCTCCTCTCCTGTCTCCCTCTCTCCTGTCCTCCTCTCCCGTCTCCCTCTCTCCTGTCCTCCTCTCCTGTCTCCCTCTCTCCTGTCTCCCTCTCTCCTGTCTCCCTCTTACCTGTCTCCCTCTCTCCTGTCCTCCTCCCCTGTCTCCCTCTCTCCTGTCCTCCTCTCCCGTCTCCCTCTCTCCTGTCCTCCTCTCCCGTCTCCCTCTCTCCTGTCCTCCTCTCCCGTCTCCCTCTCTCCTGTCCTCCTCTCCTGTCTCCCTCTCCCCTGTCCTCCTCTCTCCTGTCCTCCTCTTCTGTCCTCCTCACCTGTCTCCCTCTCTCCTGTCTTGCTCTCTCCTGTCCTCCTCTCCTGTCTCCCTCTTACCTGTCTCCCTCTCTCCTGTCCCTTGTCCTCCTCACCTGTCTCCCTCTCTCCTGTCCTCCTCTCCTGTCTCCCTCTCTCCTGTCTCCCTCTTACCTGTCTCCCTCTCTCCTGTCCTCCTCTCCTGTCTCCCTCTCTCCTGTCCTCCTCTCCTGTCTCCCTCTCTCCTGTCCTCCTCTCCCGTCTCCCTCTCTCCTGTCCTCCTCTCTCCTGTCCTCCTCTTCTGTCCTCCTCACCTGTCTCCCTCTCTCCTGTCCTCCTCTCCTGTCTCCCTCTTACCTGTCTCCCTCTCTCCTGTCTCCCTCTCACCTGTCCTCCTGTCCCTTGTCCTCCTCACCTGTCTCCCTCTCTCCTGTCCTCCTCTCCTGTCTCCCTCTCTCCTGTCTCCCTCTTACCTGTCTCCCTCTCTCCTGTCCTCCTCTCCTGTCTCCCTCTCTCCTGTCCTCCTCTCCTGTCTCCCTCTTACCTGTCTCCCTCTCTCCTGTCTCCCTCTCACCTGTCCTCCTGTCCCTTGTCCTCCTCACCTGTCTCCCTCTCTCCTGTCCTCCTCTCCTGTCTCCCTCTCTCCTGTCTCCCTCTTACCTGTCTCCCTCTCTCCTGTCCTCCTCTCCTGTCTCCCTCTCTCCTGTCCTCCTCACCTGTCTCCCTCTCTCCTGTCTCCCTCTCACCTGTCCTCCTGTCCCTTGTCCTCCTCACCTGTCTCCCTCTCTCCTGTCTCCCTCTTACCTGTCTCCCTCTCTCCTGTCCTCCTCTCCTGTCTCCCTCTCTCCTGTCCTCCTCTCCTGTCTCCCTCTCTCCTGTCCTCCTCTCCTGTCTCCCTCTCTCCTGTCTCCCTCTCTCCTGTCCTCCTCTCCCGTCTCCCTCTCTCCTGTCCTCCTCTCTCCTGTCCTCCTCCCCTGTCTCCCTCTCTCCTGTCCTCCTCACCTGTCTCCCTCTCTCCTGTCTTGCTCTCCTGTCTCCCTCTTACCTGTCTCCCTCTCTCCTGTCTCCCTCTCTCCTGTCTCCCTCTTACCTGTCTCCCTCTCTCCTGTCCTCCTCCCCTGTCTCCCTCTCTCCTGTCCTCCTCTCCCGTCTCCCTCTCTCCTGTCCTCCTCTCTCCTGTCTCCCTCTTACCTGTCTCCCTCTCTCCTGTCTCCCTCTTACCTGTCTCCCTCTCTCCTGTCCTCCTCACCTGTCTCCCTCTCTCCTGTCTTGCTCTCCTGTCTCCCTCTTACCTGTCTCCCTCTCTCCTGTCCTCCTCACCTGTCTTGCTCTCTCCTGTCCTCCTCTCTCCTGTCTCCCTCTTACCTGTCTCCCTCTCTCCTGTCTCCCTCTCTCCTGTCTCCCTCTTACCTGTCTCCCTCTCTCCTGTCCTCCTCCCCTGTCTCCCTCTCTCCTGTCCTCCTCTCCCGTCTCCCTCTCTCCTGTCCTCCTCTCCCGTCTCCCTCTCTCCTGTCCTCCTCTCCTGTCTCCCTCTCTCCTGTCTCCCTCTCCCTGTCCTCCTCTCTCTTGTCTCCCTCTCTCCTGTGCTCCTCTCCTGTCTCCCTCTCTCCTGTCCTCCTCTCCCGTCTCCCTCTCTCCTGTCCTCCTCTTC